CTTTCACCGTGGACGAAGCGGAGTCCAGCCCGGGGTCGTCACATGTGGTTGCCGCAAGCCCACCGGCCGCTGCTTCGTCGAATCCGCCGGCCGCGCCATTCTCAAGCCCCCGGCTGTTTCTCACTCTAGCCCTCCAACCTCCGCTCACTTTAGCCGCCGGTGTCCGCTCACTCTAGCCCCCCTCCACTCACTCTAGGCCTCCGGGCTACGCTCACTCTAGCCCGCCGTGTGTTTCGTTGTGAAAGCGAAACTACTTTGTTTGGTCTTCCAAAAGAGGACATGACTAGAAATCAGTGGTTAAGTTGTATTTACAACACTGTTCCAGAACAGTTAAACCCAAATATTAATTTGTGTGCAGCACATTTTATGGATGACTGTTTCCTGATCCTGGAAGAGTAGACTACAATGCCGGCTGTTCTGACTCACAGACTGTAAGTACGTTTTCATTTAAAGGATTTGCCACTGATGATTCAAACGCGAGTTTTGAGCAGTGTAGAGTAACCCTTGGTGTTTGTCATTTCTCCAATCACAAATGCAGACATGGATTTATGTTTACGCGGCGCAATGCAATGAGTAAAAAGACAGTATAAGTCATTATAATCCGTAATTATGTCCCCACTGGATGCAACAAAAGCCTAGTTTGTAATGGGTTTTCATGTTTTTGAATCATCGCTCCAGCCGTACAGGGCATCACAGTATAGTAAGGGGCGTAACATCACACGCTTGAGGTATTCGGCCAATCACAACGCACTGGATAGCTGGCCAATCAGAGCACACCTTGCTTTTCGGGGTTGCGTTTATGCATTTTTTTTACACATTAGTAGTAAATCAAGACTTGTAAAATAAAATAATAAAAAACAACAACATGGAATATAGCCTACTGTGTACAGAAAGCGAGTAAAGAACTCTCAACATTAGGCTACTAAAAAGGTCAGTTTAATCTCGCAAAAACTCCCGTTAATAAAAAAATCGGACTACACTGCACAATTAATCTCTTACATTGCATCTTTGTTGTTTATGATGAATTTGGTGCTTGCACGTAGGCTACACCGCTTTTATTATTATTGCAGCTTAGATGTTCAAATAGCTGCAGTACTCCGACTTTGCCACAAGGAAAAGTGCAAACTTTGACTCTGACGTGGTGCATCACACGCTTGAGGTTTTCGGCCAATCACAACGCACGGGATAGCTGGCCAATCAGAGCTCACCTTGCTTTTCGGGGTTGCGTTTATGCATTTTTTTTACACATTAGTAGTAAATCAAGACTTCGCAAGTTCACTTGTAAAATAAAATAATAAAAAACAACAACATGGAATATAGCCTACTGTGTACAGAAAGCGAGTAAAGAACTCTCAACATTAGGCTACTAAAAAGGTCAGTTTAATCTCGCAAAAACTCCCGTTAATAAAAAAATCGGACTACACTGCACAATTAATCTCTTACATTGCATCTTTGTTGTTTATGATGAATTTGGTGCTTGCACGTAGGCTACACCGCTTTTATTATTATTGCAGCTTAGATGTTCAAATAGCTGCAGTACTCCGACTTTGCCACAAGGAAAAGTGCAAACTTTGACTCTGACGTGGTGGTAAGTAGGCCTACTTTTCTACGTCAAAGACCGTTTTTATAAATATGAACGTTGCCGTGGATTTTAGCGTACGCACACTCTAAGATCAAATCTGTGCATACGCACATTTTATAAATGAGGCCCCAAGTGAGTGTACAAAATGACCTATAAAAGTAGCAATTCCCACAGACCCATAACGTTCCGCTATTCCCAGCTGTCCCTCGGGTCAAACCCTGCCGCTGGCGTTGTACCCAGTTAACTAAAATCATGTTGAATTAGAGCTATGATCAACTGTGTTTTGCTGAATTCCCATGTTAGATATTTGGCTCTTGTTCTGACAGCATGAGCTGATGAAACGCTGACTCACTAGTGGTACCAAATGGAAATGCTAAATTGATGATTGTTTTCACACAGATTTTTCAAAGTATTAATACCCTTTCCGCCCTGTCCTGTCTTCCATTGTTTTGACAAAAAGGTTGTCCCATCACAAATACACTCAGATCAAAATCTGTGCATACGCACATTTTATAAATGAGGCCCCAAGTGAGTGTAAAAAATGACCTATAAAAGTAGCAATTCCCACAGACCCATAACGTTCCGCTATTCCCAGCTGTCCCTCGGGTCAAACCCTGCCGCTGGCGTTGTACCCAGTTAACTAAAATCATGTTGAATTAGAGCTATGATCAACTGTGTTTTGCTGAATTCCCATGTTAGATATTTGGCTCTTGTTCTGACAGCATGAGCTGATGAAACGCTGACTCACTAGTGGTACCAAATGGAAATGCTAAATTGATGATTGTTTTCACACAGATTTTTCAAAGTATTAATACCCTTTCCGCCCTGTCCTGTCTTCCATTGTTTTGACAAAAAGGTTGTCCCATCACAAATACACTCAGATCAGAGCCAAAGTATAGGGCTGAGGGTAGGATAGGATTAGTAGTTATAGAAGCAGAATGGAAGAATGTTATAATGCTTTAAAAATATAAAACAAGATAATGGCTAAACTGAAATACCCTTTGTAGCATTAACGGGGGCTGCAGTGACGTAGTGATGGTGCTTGGCAGAGGGGGTGTTTGGAACAGTGTGTGTGTGTGTGAGCTGAAATGACGTCAGCTCAGCACAAAGACAGTGGTGAGATGAGACTTGTAATCACTGCTTTTTTGAAATATTTTTGAGTCAGCAAGAGCTGGTCAAGAACATTTGCATTTGATTTCTATTCACAAAACTACAAATTTTACAGTCTTTATATAAAATTATTTTTAATAATTTTTATTTTTAAACTCTGTAAAAGTCTACTGTCCTGTTGGCAAATAATCATTTGCACAGCACAGATGCTGTTAGATAAGTACCTGTGTAAAGAGTACTGAGTTTTTCAGTGCTCTGGGAAGTTTGCCTGCTAACAGATCGGGAGGAATAAAGATCCATCTGTTATATAAGGCCATCATCAGGTTTATTAAAACTTGATGTGTGCATTCTGAAGAATGCCTTTGCTTTAGCCCTTATCAGGATGAGAACCTCACCAAGAAGCTTCTGCATCCGCTCAGCCCTTCAGCCATTTTCCACACACTCATTTTCATGTCATTATTTTTAGTGAGTGATAATTGTAGCTAGTGTGGTTTTCTGTAAATCGTCTCATAGTCACATTAGATTTGTTTTTAAAACAGTAAAATAATTTGTACAGTGTAAAAAAAAGACACATTTCCCTGACTGTCGGCAAATATATAAACATCGACTGTCCAATGGATAATACATCCTCCATACTAAAAATAAATGATAAAAATATAAAGAAGTCTATTTGGTTTACAGAGTTAGGGTTAGCTATTGAAATGGCTTGTTTAAGCATTCAAATATGAGTAATGAATTTTTCTAAAAAAATGTATTCAGTAATTTTTCATGAACGTTATTTTTGCATACTGCATGGAAGTGAGAAACTCATTTGAGTCCATTTCTGGCACTGAAAACATATGGGAAACTGGCTCTCCATTATAAGGAATATCTAGGTTTAATTGAATATATTTTTAGACCCAGGTAATGAGAGCCATTCATTAAACTAAGCCCACCATTGAAAAGACTTTTTACATTTACTGAACAGTAATGAATGTCGAACTGCTTAATTCATGTTCATATGTCAGGTCGATTTTAGAGACTGAGAAAAATATCAAGTTGAGGACAACAGAACAGGGTGTTAAATTCAAGGTGCTATGTCATGAAATCAATCATACAGAACCTTCAAGGTGAAGCCTCAAGATGAATGATGTCAGTACTGAAAGAGATGGAGTCTTTTTATATTTATAACTTAAAACCGCATGTAATTTTAAAAACTATGTTTGAATTCCAAAGCTACACGACTAATATCAGTTCTTTTGATAACAGGCAATCATCTACGGTCCACATTTCTGCCTCCCCCCCCCCCCCCCCCCCCTCTCTCTCTCTCTCACACACACACACACCTGCTTGCTCTTTTGGTCCTGGATTTGCAATCTTAAACTTCTTTAAAGGTGAAACATGAAAACCGTAATAGAAAAATGCAATTAAAAACATTTGCTCATATAAACATATCGAGAACTTTCAAATAAGGTATTTAGCCACGTCATTTTAAGGATTTTGTCCTCAATTTAAAGCAGCCTTTTAGTCGTCCCCCACTTCTCCGCCCCCCCCCCCCCCCAACTTTGATTATGACAATTAAATAAAACCATCACAGAGGTTTTTGTCAAGGCCGGCCGTGACAAACCTCCAGCCCAGCTGCCCCTCCCTCCCACACTCCCTCCGCAAAGTGTGTTGAAATGAGGCCTGATAAAAAGTCTATGGCGGGTGTGAATAATTCATGAATCATAAATTACAGCACATGACTCCCAGTAGGGGTAGTTATTTCACACCAGCTGTTCCGTGGCCTCCTCCTGTGCGGAAAATTAAAGAGAGGCAGTATCCTGAACTGTCCGCCGCCCTGACTGAGTCTCAGCACTGTCCACCTCTGCCAGAGCTTTTATCATGACATTTTGTTCTTCGATAAAAAAAGGAACTGTGTGTTTTCTTTGTTACGCCCGATCGATAGCTTCATTCAATATCTGCACACAGCACGACTGGCCCCATAGGGCTCCCTGGAAGATTTTTTTTGTGAGCCATAAAACTGCATTTTTTTGCTTATTAACAGGACATGATAGTGAAACAAAGTACTAAGTGAAACTAAAAAGAGGAGACGCTGAGGAAAAAGTGTGGTTTCATTTAAAAAAAAAATGGAACACCACAACATTCTCAAAAGCCCTTTAATGTGTTTTATATATAAAGAACAAAGAACAAATGCTTTCATAGGTCTTAATATTTTATTTATTCATTTGATTTTTCAAAACTATTTTTTCATAATAAATCTTCACTTTGAGGTCATCAAAGAATTGTCACAATAAAAACAAAAGAAGGTATTATAGAAAAATTGTACACAAATAAAAAAAAACACAAAAACAAAAAGCAACATTTTATTCAGAATGTCATATTTTATACCTCTTGTACATTCCACACAGTACAAGATAGCAGAGAGAAGAATGTTTGCAAACACTTTTGAAGGGTTGTTTTTGCTATCTTTGTGCTTTTTAGCTAATCCAATACTCAAGTTTTGGGGGGCTGAATTCATTTGTTACTTTTTGAGATTATGATATTGTCTCTCGGTAGACTCGGAGTCCTAAATACCATGCATAATTTGTTTGGTCACTAAGACAAGCAAGAGGATATTGCTTAAACAGTCCAAAAACGTATTTTCCACATGTCTGTTTGCTTTCCAAAACCTATACTCATACTCGTCTTTTAATGTTGACACAACAGCAAATACAAAGAAAAAAAGAAAAATTAAAACAAAGAAATAAACAAAAAGGAAGGAGTATGTCAAAAAAAAGAACAGATGTTGGAGATGCACATAAAGGAGGGAAAATAAAATCTGTATAGCTAATGGCAGAAAAGGTTCTATCGCTATAGCAACACATTAACATTTAATTTTCTGTTTTTCATTTATTTTCGCCTTGGTTTTTTCTGAAAAAAAAAAAAAAAGGTTTGAAGAGCAGGTATACTGTAGTTGGCATCATCTATATAACAGGCTATAAAACACCACTTCAGCCACAGTCCAGAGAGCACACAGATAGTCTTTGCACCGTATATAAACATGTAATAAGATACTTTACGTGCATGGAGATTTTCCTCAATCTATTCCGAATGGCCCCGGTATTCCTTGTTGTCAGCTGTCATCGTTTTGACAAACATACAAACAGAAAGAAAATCCATCAACCTTTACACTTGGATTGATATTTAAGGCCTCCACAATTCTCTTTGACACCAAGGGTTCTGTCCACCGAATGGAAATCAGTTCGGATCCTACAAGGAGCGGTCCTTTCTCATCCAAACACGCAATACCATCAGAAAAGGGAGTCAAATACTTTGGCTGATTTAACAATCATAGGTAGCATCTCATTTTTAAGTCCTTCATTCCTTTTCCGTCTGTCCCATCGGTGAATGTCTGTTTGGATTGTTGCAGATGGTTTATCTGGCTTTAGAGGGAAAATGTTCCGGCAACACATATACAGGCAACATAATATGAAATACACTTAATTCTAACCAACGGCCTTGTCTCTCAGTGATCCACAACTGTAGTGACTACATGGATTCTTCTTGAGCAGTTCTGTTTCATTTTGTACACACTTTTCAGCTTAGTAAAGTTCTGGTGTGCTTGGTTATAAATTGTTTTCTTGTTGTTAGTAACAGTATATTGTGTCTTAGGTCAATCTAAGACAGTTTTGTCTTTTTCTATTTTTTTTCTCAATTACTATACATGGGTGGATCTCCCCTCCCCTTTTGTGTGTGAGTTCAGAGCACAAGATCTGTGGTTGGGTTGTAAGGGGCGGGGAGAAAGTCTGTGAGATCAGACGTAGTACTCCTTGTCCTTGTTCTTTTTATCTTTTTTATTTTTGGGCACGCCAATGGGCTTTTCTTTGACGGCGGCTCCGTTGGGCTGCGTGGCGGAATTACTAATGTAGTTACGGCTCTCATCCACGTGGTACGAGCCCTCATCGCGATTTCTGTATTTGTACATGGCGTAGAGTAAGATTAGGATGCAAAGGGCGGCTGCCGCGACGATGCCTACGACCATGCCCGTGGTGCTGCTGGACTCCCGAATCACTTCCGGGCTGGGGTAACCCTTGGCCTCAGGCAGTGGAGGGTGAGCTGTGGACACACAGAAAAGGAAAAGAGAGAGAGACCATTCATTACAATCACAGGGCTATTCATTTAACTCTATTATTACAGAGCTTTCTAGAACACTTGATTCTGATTGGTTACTTGGGGCTTTCAGTTGGCAGTTCACTTTTTCAGCTATTTCCTAATATGCACCATCATTCATGGCAATGCTAAATATTAGTCAGGTCAATTGGGTAACCGAAACCCCCGCATGACTCGACCTTCCAGTCAGTGTTAATTTCGTTGACGAATAATTTTCATAAATGAAAATAAACGAGACAAATGTTAAGGAGGGATGATTTATGGGAATAAATCCAGTCAGAATGAATCTCCTGCATGGTTTAGAGGTTGGATGCAAACATTTGAACTGTAACAGCCTATTGATCTATCCGGCGGGACATAAGCTAGCATACACTTGCTGCTCGTCCCAAAAAAAGTAAAAAAAAAAGTCAATATCTGGGAGTAAGAGAAGAGCAGACACGTGGATAAATTTAATTGTGAACGGAGAAATTCACACAAAATGATGTCGAATTGTACGAATGATGTCGAATTGTACGTTTTCACGAATATTCATGTAAACACACTCGTTTACATCTTAAGTGAACGTACACAGTTGAGAGAATACCGGATGTGTAAAAAAAAAAAGAATATCAGATGTGTATCAGTATAAAGCACCCGTGCATTCGGTTTTAAAGGGACAGCAGCCTAATTTAGTAGCTGTTGTCTGTTAGCATGTATGTTAATCAAGCAATAAAAGAAAGGGAGAAAATCACTCACTGCTCTTGACTGAATCACTTTAGTAACCCTAATAAGGATTAATTAAAATTGATTAATATAAATAAATATGTCTGCTTGAAAGAATGAAGTTGTTATAAAGAATGCATATTATATAACATTGGTATTTCATTAAAAGGAGGACCATGTTCTTGTTTCTTTATGAAAAGTGGTTTTATTTCATTTTAATATAAAGTAATGTTGTGTGTCATAGCAGTTAAATCTGTGTCTATGTTGCATGATGAAACCTTAATATCAAACCTATTTGAGTTTGGAAATTTTAGAGAAATACTTAATAAATGCATTACACTAACTAAACCCATGCGAGACTGTAGATTTAGTCTACTAAAATCTTATGATATTTAGTTGACTAAAACTAGACTAAAACTAAAACAATTCGGATGACTAAAATATGACTAAAACTAAATGGCATTTTAGTCAAAAGGCTATGACTAAGACTAAATCAAAATTTGCTGTCAAAATTAACACTGCTTCCAGTGAAACGACAGACTTCTCCAACCCTGCTCCTGGGAGCTATGGACCCGCAAGACTTCAGTTCCAACCCTGCTCCAACAAACCTTCCTGTAATTATCAAGTAACCATGAACACCTTGATTAGCTGGTTCAGGTGTGTTTGATTGGAGTTGGAACTAAAATCTCCTATTGGTTCCCAACCCTGTTCTTGGAGTATTGCCGAGTTCAAAGTCGTCGGTTCACTGTGGTTTTCACACTGCACAACTATCTGAGGTAGCAGTCAGTCACTGCTGTGTTCACATTGCACGATGGATCGGCGAAAGGAGGTTACACACTGCATGTCTTTACAATAGGAAGAATTGCCGACAGCTCTGTCTGGTCCGCAAACTACGTTTCACAACAAAACACACGCAAGAAGTGATAAGGAAATAACGCGAGAACCCGCATGCGTCAGACCGGAGTACTCGAGCAAGACTGGAATTCTAAAATATATATATAGCCCGCAAACTGTCTGTGAGCTGATTTCCAGCTACAAGGAGAAAAAGAAAAACAGATTATGCAGGAGGGAGATGCAGGGAACAGGGATTGGGTGTTCTGCAAAGAGAGTTGGAGGTAAATAATTTTGCAGTAACTGTCATGCTGATGTTGTGGCTGGTCAAGCAAATGTTTGTGCTTGTTTCTGTATGATATAATTGTTCATATATCTATTAAAATACTGATATTCTGGTCTATAACTCCTTCCCGAACTTCCCTCTGCCCTGTATCTTGGTCTCTCATTGGCTGTAGGTCATCGCCAATGTAGTTTTCAGTCAGAAATCATTGCACACAGCATGATTGTGAATCGCCGACAGCTCCAGATATTTAGCATGCCAAATATTTTTCGACATGTCAGCGATTCCCTCAGATCGCGTCTTTGATAATTCACACTGCGTGATTGTCACTCGCGTGAACGAGCACCGATTTGCCTCCGATTTCGGGCATTTGACCGTGATTTCGCAAAACCTGTCGGCGAGTGAAAAATCGTGCTAAAATCGTGCAGTGTGAACTCGGCATAACCCAACAGTACACAGTTTGGACATCTCTCATCCATTTCAGGTCTTGATGTCTCTACTAACGAGGTGTTAGTAGAGATTCAGGTGAGTTTGATTAGGGAAACATACAACATGTGCCGAGTTGGGGATACTCCAGGACCAGGGTTGGGAACCTTGTACATCACAATACTGGAGAAATGATCCATTTCTACTTCTGTTTCATTTCGATATTAGAACTATAATATTGTTGGAGTGCTTATCTTGATGCTAAGCCATTTGTTTTGTACTCTAACACTTTTTATTTTCCTTAGTTTTAAGATAACACTCAGGTAAAATTATAACTTCAATACACATCAATATTTCATGTCCACGTATTTAATATATTTATATGGTTAGAAGCTATTTAATTAACTCCATGTTGGAGTCGTCCATCACCCTGTCATGATTTAATTTGCTATAGTGACCAGCTGACTGCATATTACCCCTTTCTTAAAAACCTTAAACTATCTAACTAATTGTTCTTATTGATTATGAAAGTTCATTTACTATTATTCATTATTTTAATGTTAACATTGCAGCTTCTTTCACACCAGTAACAATATTATTCAGTTCTGAGCGGACGTGAAATACTAAGAGGAATGAAGCTAGAAGAAACTTGAAAGAAACCCAAAAATCAATATTTCTTGCCAAATTGATTTCTCTCCTGATGAGATTAGATATCCCACTGAGAAACTGCTTCACGGCAGCGTACAGTCACTTGAGTAAATAGGATATGAACCACAAAAATGACACTCAACCTTGCAATATATGTATAGAATGTGCCGCCACTGAACGGACGGAGTGCTAACACACTTTGCTTATCAAACGGTCACAAGACACATCTGGTTAATACAGAGCGATCAGAATGGATATGTTGCACATTTCCCATGAGTCGTGACCATTGAGTGAACCTCACATCATGGCTATTTATTCCTGGCACAGAGAGTAGCGTGGTGGGTAGAATAGTGTGGTATAGTTTCTTCTGATTTATGTCTCTTGGAGAGGGGAGAGTAACTGCGAGACAGTGCAGCTGCAGGCTGTGCACAAATGCTCGACAAAACAACACCTGTGACAAAGCCGTTTACAGCTTAGGCCCGATCCACTGCAACCCGCAGGTGCAGGATATGAGATGATGACAAAGTACAGCAGGGAATTATGAATGGCGACCTCTGCTCAAACATCTGTTTTTAGAAATGTTGTGTGGAAGGAGGACACTTTGGGGATCTGTAACATCATTTATCTGAGACCTTCTGAGCTTTGGCCAACATTTTATGTTTCTGCTTTTTTCTGTGCTTATTATCAAGCTCATTGCATGATTTATTAGCATGTTTTTCCATTATGTCATGGACATGTTTCATTGCCCTATGTATAATATGACTGCTCCATGGGCCACTAGCAGCTGTAACTAAGCCAGCTGAAGGAACCCAGATTGGGTTAACCTTTGTGCTTCATTTTTCATGTCGAAAGTGCACAGTCGACTGAGTAACCAGGATGCGCCCGCTGCGTGGAGAAATGAGAAACACAATATGTGCTACGCTAGCATGTTCTCTGGCCTTTTCTGAATTTATACCTCAACAAAATTCACCAGGTCTCTTTAACCTGCACACAATCAATGAGAAAGAATAGGGATTATGGGTAAAAAAAAAAAAAAAATAGACTTTAGCATAAGATATATTTAACTTGCATAAAACTGGCAAAAATGCGTGAGCTGAAATTCTACAGAAGCACAAAGAAATTTGATGACAGGCACAAGTTTACGTTTGTTTAATATAATGACCTATTTAAAAACTCATCTAAGCAATGAGCTCCCTCTGTGCCAAAAATAAAATTAAAATACTATATTTACAGCACATAAAGTGGGTAAATGATTTAATGTGGTTTAATGAGGTATTAATGTCTGTTTAAAGATGCAAAGGCAGATTATACAAACATATATTTCAACGCGCACTGTGGATATTTTGATAAATGAGCACATAAGCAACAACGCAGCTCAGGTAACAGCGCTTCCTAACTGGCAACAAAACGATAAAAGCTTTTTCGAGTTAATCTGAACTCCTGTTTAAACTAGCTGCGACAAGCAGTGAATGCCGCTACATTTTCTATTTCTGCACAGTAGCTTCGGATTATTAAACATCAAACATAGATGAGCCTAGGAAAGGTTGTTTTTGGAAGCTGAGAAACATCGGATATGACAAATCCCTCAAGATCCACAAGGCAAAATCACCACAAAATGGATGCCGCCTCATGGAAGTGCTGAAAATACAAATGGTGTTCTAGGTTTTACGCTCTTCACTTCGCCCTCGCTGTTATGATTGGCTGTTTTGTTGTGTTGAATTTTCGCATTCAGTGTGGACAGGAAAATGACTTCTCGCTGGAATCTCGTCACGCTTGACACAACGGACACATTATTTCTCAGATTGTTTTTTATTTTTCTGCTGTACAATGTGTCCACTTGGCTGAATTTTTGAGAAATGATGCCATTTGGTATTTTAACACTATTTTTGTACACATGAAAAAGTGTATTTGGTAAAATGTAAAAACTAAGGATTGTTTCACCCCCAGATATAATCTTTGAAAATGGACTTGCGTTCTTTTAACTTATACTGTAGTCAAATAATTTTTCATGGAGTGGTTTAAAACAGAATGACGGGAAAATGGGGAATCATTTTGGAGGAAAAGAACACATATGGACGGTAATAATATAAAAGAAAGATGACTAACCTAACCCACCTGAACTTGGGTCGCAAGGGTCAATGTCCTCATCGTCGCTGGGACATTCTGCCGACGCTACCAGAAGATCATCCTGTACCAGAGAGACACAGAAGAGATGAAGGGTTAATCAAAACACCTAGTGGCATCATTACAGTTTTATAGGGTTGCTGTGTCATCTAAGGCCTCACGCTGTGAAAGAGAGAGAGGAGCGAAATAGGAAATGTCCTTTCCACTGCCACTCTGACATCTCTCACAGGTCCTCTGAGCTTTGACTCACAGGCGCGATCAAAGTTGTCCAAACCGTCAAAAGTCACAACATTTCTGCAAAAACAACCGTTTCTGTGGATTTAACACACCAGATCGCCTTATAGTACAGTCTGGAGAGACTTCCACATCACGGCAGTTGGAAATATCAATCAGAGCAGCACAAACACACACTCGCACATACACAAAGATTTCACGAATGCAATTTTGCTAGCAGTTGCTTAATAAAGACAGTCACGCAGGAACATGTGGTGCGAGGAGCATCAAATCCCCTCACATCCTTCCATCCCGCTGGAAAACAATCTCATCAAACATGCCTTTTAATCTGAAATGAAACCATAGGAAGCAAATCTAAAGACAAGCCCTATCAATGACAACACACGGCACTGAGACGCGCACAACACCACATACTGAAGGAAATCTTGCCTCTGCTCCAGTGATGGTTCCGAAGGGAAAGAAAGCCATGTTGAGATTTCACGGTTTGAATTCCAAAGATGGTATCCGACTGCGGTTTAATAGCTCAGAACGTCTCTCCGTGCAGGAATTCTCCATCAACTATGCAAAAAGGCAGCGAGCTCGATGTTCCTCTCAGTGCTACGGCAGAAAATTACATCTGACGACGTCGCTTTGGTGGCATCCATTTAGTGCCAGTCTTCACACTTCTCTCTCTCTCTGCAATTAGCCAGAGTGTGTATACAGTTGCCAGCTGGCCAAACGTGTACAGGCATGTGTGTTTGTCCCAATAGAAATGCAGGACTGGCTGAGTGTGTGTGTGCGCGCAGGGAGGAAAGACATCGATTTGTCTCTCTGAGCTCACACAGTCTGCCCACAGGCTGCGGGGCAATGCCCACGCCAATCAGGACCTTTCACCATCATCACAGCCACGAGGACCACATGAAACAACACGGAAAGAGAAAGAGACTGAGAATAAAGGGAGAGGAAAGTAGGAGTGGGAGGGCACCCTTCACAGTTGTTTTAAAGTGGTTGCTATAACCACATGGTTGCCATTTTCCTTGCAGCGATATCTGTTCAACTCCCAGATCTCAAACACCCTGCAAGTAGGTCAGTGCGGGTGAATAATTTAGATCACTGACGTTACAGTGCTGGTTTATGTGCTGCTGGAAGGCTGGGAGACATGGAGGTAATGTGTTGCAGCAGGAGTGCACAACAGAGCCCTCACTAAAGGCCGGCAGCAGCATGTGTCTGCTTGACTCTAGAGAGAGAAAGAATAATAACACTGGGAGCCACGGGCCGATGGGTGAAGTCATCCATACCGCTCCGTCTCTCATTCTGTGAACTGACATGTAATGCATAAAAGACCTCAACTACCATAGACATTGAATTGAAGGGATACTCCACCCCAAAATGAAAATTTTGTCATTAATCACTTACCCCCATGTCGTTCCAAACCCCTAAAAGCTTCGTTTGTCTTCGGAACACAATTTAAGATATTTTAGATGAAAACCGGGAGGCTTGTGACTGTCCGATTGTCTGCAAGTAAATTACACTGTTAAGGTCCAGAAAAGACATGTCTATGAAAGTCCATCTGCCATCAGTGGTTGAACCGTAACGTTATGAAGTGACGAGAATACTTTTTGTACGCGAAGAAAACAAAAATAAGGACTTTATTCAACAATTTGTCTCCTCTGTGTCTCTCCGCATCACCGTAGCGCTATTTTGGAGAATATCCACTGAACGCAAGCAGCGTACGCTATTCTGTGTCAGCCGCGACACAAGGATACATTTTCTATGTGTATTTACGCTTTGATTGGAATGAAAACAGCACATTCGTGCAGCGTGGCTGACACAGAAGAGCGTACGTTGCTTGCGTTCAGTGGTTATTCTCCAAAATGGTGCTACGGTGATGCGGAGAGACACAGAGGAGACAAATTGTTGAATAAAGTCCTTATTTTTGTTTTCTTCGCGTACAAAAAGTATTCTCGTCGCTTCATAACGTTACGGTTCAACCACTGATGGCAGATGGACTATTCTGACGATGTCTTTCATGCTTTTCTGGACCTTGACAGTGTAATTTACTTGGCAGTCAATCGGACAGTCACAAGCCTCCCGGTTTTCATCCAAAATATCTTAAATTGTGTTCCGAAGACGAACGAAGCTTTTAGGGGTTTGGAACGATATGGGGGTAAGTGATTAATGACAAAATTTTCATTTTGGGGTGGAGCATACCTTTAAGTAGTCAACCGAAATGTGGTCATGCTTCTGATAAAAGGGATGGGGGAAAGGTACACAGTCTTAATAATGCATAGGCTTAAGCACGACAGACAACTTAGACACAATGTTACCTCTCTTGACATGACCACAGAGAGAAAGGAGGGAGTTCTAGAATGGTGAAGAAGGAGAGTGATGAGGTGTTGTGTAGTGGTTAAAGATGTCAGCAGGAAAGTGAAAGCACAAGTGGAGATCCATGAGGTATCACACCATTGTGCCGGAACAGCCATCCTAAGTTGTAAGTAGAGCTTGGCAACATATATTGAATTTTCACAACATATACTGCTGTTCAAAAGTTTGGGGTTGGAAAGATTATTAAAAATATTTTTGAACGGAATATGTTATGCTCACCCAGGCTGCATTAATTTGATAAAAATACTGTAAAAGTAATATTGTGAAATAATATTACAATTTATAACTGCTTTCTATTTTAATATATTTTACATTTTAATTTATTCCTTAATGTTTTTTTTCAGATTTTTTTGATGAACAAAGTAAAAAAAAAAAGCATTATTCGAAACTTTAGCAACATTATAAATATCTTTACTGTCACTTTTAGTCAATTTAGTGCATCTGCTGAATAAAAGTATTCATTTCTTTTCTGACAACAAGCTTACTGACCCCAAACATTAAAAAAATTGTGTATTTCCAATGATTCTGTTAGCAATATTAAATTAAATTCTAATTATGTTTCCTAAATAACATGTCATTAGACTAGTTTAGAGATCCTTCCTTGAATTCCTTTGTTCCAGTAAAAACGATCCTTTTCAATTAATCATTCAAAACTCTGATTCACATATGTGTCCTCGCTCAAAAATGTTCAAGGACATACTCAAATGGCATTTATAATGTATTAAAAGACATGTAATAGAAAACATGCCTTGACTATTTTAACTAGATTTTTTATGTTTTGAATTTGTAGATCTTACATTGTAGTGTTTTTAATCTATTTGGTCACAGTTAACTCTTTGGTTGCAATAATGGTATAAAACAGTATATATAAACAGTAACTGTAACTAAACAGATGAAAACATTTTAATCTATTTATATTTAAAATACGATCAAAATGGAAAAACTGATATATCGCCCAGCCCTAATTGTATAGAGCAGACAGGAATCTTCTAAATGACTACATACCATTGTGACTGGTGGCTTTACATGAACATGTTCCACCCAAACCTTTGTTAGGATCTGTATTTGAATTCCTCTCACACAGCTGAGTGCCTGAAACCATCCTTCTTTTTAACTCTCTTTCCACTTTTGGAAACACCGCCCCTCAGCAAAGTGTCAAAACTCGAAAAGTCGTCAGATGTGGCGTTACACAAGCACTTGAGCGTGAGGCTGTTTTCTGCAGAAAAGTCACGTATGACTAAGACCGAGCCTTTAGCATCCATCTGCCTGAGATCGCCGTTCTCCATCCACTGCCCACTCAACAGCTGTGCTGAGGCGGATGAGGGGGACAGAAGCGGCCTACATTATGACTGTCCATTTTCCTCCTGCTGAAAAACTACAGTGCAGCATGTTAGAGACTGTGGGTGTGCTATCAGAGCATCATTTACACACACACACAGGTTTGTTTTTATGGTTTATGGGGACTCTCCATAGGCGTAATGGTTTTTATACTGTACAAACCGTATTTTCTATTGCCCTACACCAACCCTACCCCTAAACCTACCCCTCACAGGAAACTTTCTGCATTTTTTGATTTAAAAAAAAAACTCATTCTGAATTATTTATAAGCCTTTTGAATTACGGGGACACTGAAAATGTCCTCATAAATCACCTTCTCGTTGTAATACCTATGTCATACCCATGTTATTATACAAATTTGTGTCCTCATAAACCACATAAACATGCACACACACACACACACACACACGCACACACAGACACCACATGCACAGTATCGGACTCCCTGTTTTGCTTGCTCTTAATTACTGCACTGCCAACAGGCACAATAAGAGATGTGACACAGAGCCAAAATGGGCGGGAGAGCAGAGGGAGAGAGAGAAGACGGCACTCGGTTCACCTGTGAACGCAGAGGGGAAACCAGCTGTGTCCTAATGAGAAAGGAGTTACCTCAACACACATGCTCTCACAAAACACACTTTTCAAGCTCCACCTCCATTCAGCCCATTCCAATTACCTCTTAGCTGCGAGACTGATCTACAGAGACACAAACTAAAAGTAGGACCTGACTGAGCCAACTGTACATGCCCTGGATAAGACAGGAGCAGGAAGTGGGTGGATCTGACCCACTGATCCCTCCAAGCCTAAACCTTTTTACCTCGTATAAGTAGGTTTTATGTTATCTCAAGTAAGTGCATCATATATTGTCTAGCAGTTCCAGCCTACTGCGCAGTAACACTATTTTCTGCTCGTATTCGGGCTCTTACTCTTAATTTTGTAGTCTGTAAGTACTGACGGTCAAAACCCTCTTAACGGTTCCCTCAATTTCCATCTAAAATATATCACATATCTCAAATCCTTGTTCTGTAATCATTTGCACTTAAAAAACAATATACATTTTACAGCCCATCTGAGATGGCCAGGCTCAGACACTCACATTCACCTCTATCTCTCCATCTCTTTCAGTCA